AGTAGCTGGGGTGTGTAGAGTTTTCTGGTTCGGAACAGTGTTCCAAATTTTTCAGAAGCGGCTGTTGCAATTCTAGTGACATGATTTTAACCCCCAACAAAGTTATCGAAGCAGATAGTGGAACCTGACATTATTACATCCGGTTCGGAGACATTTATTTTCTTGGAGAAAACCGATGCCTAGATTTTGGTGTCATTAAATTGAACCTGATTATTTTCACTTCAATTCGAAATTACTCCTAGATCCTCATTGAGATATGCAATCTCCTTCTGCCGGTGAAGATGTGTATCCGCCACCGATGTCCTGGAATCCATATATACTGTCATTAGCAAAGCAATATATTGGATTCTTTTTTTTTAATAAGTCGTTGATATACAATAGAAAGAGGGTTGCGAACAATATAGATCCCTAGGGAATACCAGCGTTGATGGTGAAAGTATTCGATATATATCCGTCGACGGCCACTTGCAGGTTATGTTCTTTCAGGAAGCTGAAAGCCATACACAAAAATGATCCGACAAGCCATAGCTTCGAAATTTGGCCAGCAAACTCTCATGCCACCACGATTAAAACCCCAGAAATATCAAGCGCTACAGCTTGACTCTCCATGTTTCTCGATTGTGTTATTCCAAATATGGGTGACATACGATAGAAGGTCGCCTGTTAATTTTTGTTTCCGAAAGCCATATTGATGATCGCTCAAGTTATTGAAGTTTTCCAAATAGAGTAATGTACTTTATTTGACCATTTTACATACATTTATGGCAAGTCACAAATACAGAAATCCTTGATCAGAGATAAAATTCATCTACTATGAAATATAAGTAAAGAATATAGGTATAAATGAAATCATAAATGTAGGTATGCTGATTTAATATTCCTATATATTATAGAAACAGTGTTGGAGGACAAATCTTTTGATGATAAATTTAAATTTAGTGAGGTTGAGTGACTTCACAGATGAATGAAGATGATTATAAAGATTTGAGTTCAGTGAATTTCTTTGACTGATAGTCAGATTATGTCTAGGCAGTTTCAATGAACTTGCAGACCTCGTTTCATATACATGTCTTTCACTATGTCTTTCAAATTTGTCAACATTTTCATGAATCTCCAGTAACACTTTATAAACATACAGTGTTGGAAGTGGCATAACGCCGAGTTGAAACTAAGATTATTTTCTGAGAATGTACAGTTGAGAATCGCTACTTTCGCACAGGCACCGCTCTGAGAGCGCCTTAAGAATTTTTCAGTAATGCTTGTGTTTTTTTCCTTAGAAACAATACAAATTACAGATATGTCATATCTTAATAGTTGCTTAATGTTATGGCCGACCGTTTCCACATAGAGAGAACTCTTTTTACAAAACACAGACAAAACACCGAAATCTCTTGATCTTTCCGCCTGTCAACAGGACATTTCGATGTTGACAAAAAGAGTTGCCCGCGACTCACAATCTTCAAAATGTTTCTTATTTTGTCAACTCAAGCTTTTGTTTCGTCGAAATCGACAGAGTTACTGTTTTTTGAAGGTGGTTGACAATGTTTCGTGGAGTATTTCATCAGTTCGGACCTCCATTGTCTAATATAATATAAATTGATTTGAAATCCTAAAAAAAATAAAAAGATTAACTGAAAATAACAATTTTATTAAACAAAAAACTGAAATTATAAAGAAATAACATACAAGCTACATACCACCTTCAAACAAACGTTGAACGTACGGACCCGGAACCAGCGACTTATTCCGAAGATATGAGAAGACTATGGTCAAGCTTACCAAAGAAGAAAGTCACCTCAGCTTCTTGTGCAGAGCTAGAGAAAACAACATCATACCCAAAGGTTTTTTGCTGAAATCGCCAATCCCAGGAGAGAGAGCCAAACGCATATTGAAACGCGCCAGCCGAGCACTGATAAGGTCTCAAATTAATTACCATTGTTGGAAGAGGTCAGCTCTGATGCAGGATGCCACAGAACGATTCGAAGAAATAAGAAGAGATACCTTGGAAGAGGATCATGGACCAATCTTTGCCAAGATTGAAAGCACGTGCTTGGAGACATGGACACATGGAGACATGGAGAATACCCACAACAGGAAGTGGGGAAAGTTGGTGAAGTAACAATACCCAAATGCAGAATGAGAACACAACAACGATGAAGCCACCGTCATCAACATGAGTTCCCACCCGCTCACGGACGTAGAGGAATCTTTGTTGAGGAAAGGTCTAAACTTCGCCATTGCACCAACATCTGTGCAATGGAAATGATTACTGCAGTAGAATCCACCAGTTTCCTTATTGATCAGATCGAGGCAGAAGAATCCAGATGGAAAATCAGACAACAGCTAGATCGAGAACCAGTTCCAATTTCTAACGTCAACAATGAAGAACGAAGAGTCCTGAACGGGCTACGTGAAGACAACACCATCAAAATCTTACCTGCAGATAAGGGAAACTCTACTGTTGTGATGGATACTGATATCTACGAACAGAAGATTGATGAGGTGATTCAGAAAGGAAAATACACGAAGATCGTAAGAGACCCAACTGCATCAATTGAAAGGAAGTTGTACCAGACTTTGAAAAAACACCAAGTATATTTTTCGGAAAAAGAGAGATCATCGCTAACACCGCACCACAGTAAGCCTCATCACTTGTATGGACTATCCAAAATCCACAAAAAGGATACTCCGTTCAGACCGATCATCAGCTCCAGAGATTCAGCCACTCAGAACTTATTCAGATTTTTACTACCAATAATCGAACCATTGCAAGGTAAAACATCTTTCGTGAAAAATTCAAGGCATTTTGTTGAACTACTAGGGGAAATCGAAGTCAAAGAGCAGAATCAACTGATAAGTTTCGACGTGGAAAGCCTCTACATCAACGTTCCTGTCGAAGAAGCACTTCAAATCATCCGAAGATAGGATGGGGACCTGGAAGGTAGAACAAACTTACCGATACAAGTAATCATGGAATTACTAGGATGATGTGTACGAAACTGCCACTTTCAACTGAAGGGCGAAACCCGAGAAAACAGCTCATCATATATATGTGAGATACGCAAACGACACCTTCATAATATGGAACCATGGTAATGCAGAACTAGAAACTTTCTTGACGCACATCAACAACGTAAGTTCTTCCATCACTTTCACAATGGAGAAGGAAGTCCACAACGAATTGCTTTTCTTAGACGTATTGGTGAAGAGGACCGAAATTGAATGGAAAACATCTGTAAACCCACTCACGAGGAACAGTATCTGAACCAGAAATCCAACCACCATCAATAGACTGAGAGAGAAATCATCAAGACTCTACTAGACTATGCTTTCTGGCTCTGTAATACAAAGGAAGGTCTCGAAAAGGAACTGAGCATCATCAAAAACGACCTTCAACGGAATGGTTACTCCTGAGTGATGATGGAAAAGGCTTCAGCTCCACATAGCAAGAGCTCCACATGGAAGAGAAGCCATCAGAACCAGTACTTGTACTTCCCTATATCAGAGGATTATCGAAAAGGATAAGAAGGATTGGATGCAAGTATAACATCAGGACCTGCTTCAGATCTGGGAACACCATCCGTAGCAGCCTCACGAAAACCAGGCCACCAAACGCTAACTGCGATTCCAAGAATTGCATTTACCGAATACCTTGCGAGTGCGGGGATTCATTCATCGGTGAAACTAAGAGGCCATTGAAAGTTCGCATTACTGAGCACAAGAAACACACACAGCGAAGAGAAACGAGCAAATCCGGAATAGCAGAGCATGTTTGGACTCATCAACATAATATCAAGTGGGCTCAAGCTGAAATCATTCACAAAGAGGAACACTGGTTTAGGAGAAAATTCAAAGAAGCCGCGTATATGTAGCCCAACAACGCATTCAGTCAAGCCAGCGTGGAGATACGTAACATATGGAAACCACTAATCAAGCGAAAAATGACCAACTCCCGCCAATGGGTCATCTAGCGCTAAAACCAATGAAGCGGAGAGAGGAAAGGGAGAATAGGTCAAAGCACTCGAATGACCTATAAATATTCAGATTTCGGAGGACGATTGTGGATACTAACAATCGAAACGTCTTGACGTAACTTGGTTTGTAATCTTTTGATTTTTATTTATGATTTTTTGTTGATAATATTTTCAATTTTCAGTTTTTACTAATATTTCAATTTTTTAGTTGCAGCTTGTTTGTTATTCCTTCATAATTTCAGTTTTTTGTTTAATGGAATTGTTATTTTCGGTTATTCTTTTAAATTTTTTTTTCAGGGATGTCAAATCAACTTATATTATATTAGACAATAGAAGTCCGAACTGATGAAATATGGTTTTTTGTGGTTTTATCAGTTTGGTGGAAATCCGCCTTAATATCCACTCTCCTAGTTTCGCCATATTTTGAATAATAGTTGTCGGAAAATAATTACTATTTTATCAAATATGGAATATGTATACATGTAATCGAAAATCCTTCTTGCTATGGATTATTCATTTCCCGGCAAGTATTTGTCATATACTAAAGTGTAAAAAGTTTTCGAAAAATTACGAGTCTCATTCGAAATATTCACTTTCTGAACTGAGAACAAAATAGTTCACATCTTAGATGATGATTCGTTCGAAACTTCTGGAAGTTTCTCAGTTTATATTTTATATCTATCTTATCTATGCCATATTTTGAATAATAGTTGTCGGAAAATAATTACTATTTTATCAAATATGGAATATGTATACATGTAATCGAAAATCCTTCTTGCTATGGATCATTCATTTCCCGGCAAGTATTTGTCATATACTAAAGTGTAAAAAGTTTTCGAAAAATTAATGTATGTTACGAGTCTCATTCGAAATATTCACTTTCTGAACTGACAACGAAATAGTTCACGTCTTACATGATGATTCGTTCGAAACTTCTGGAAGTTTCTCAGTTTATATTTTATATCTATCTCATCTACAACGAAGATCTATCCATTTATGAAGAATGTGACTGGGAAAAATACTTACATTTTCAAAATAAGGAAACTTGGAACTATCTAGCTTTGATTTTATCCAATACGCTAAAATTCCCAAGCAGAGACCGGAATAAATATGAAGTTTTTTACTCATATTCGTACTTCACTATCACTCAACTAGGCACTAACAAACGAATAATTGAACTATCGCATGTTAAGTTACATTGAGAACGTGTTATCTTTCAACCATTATGAAGTTGATTTTAATTTCAAAAAGGCACCTGATTAGTAGCCCGATATAAGCTGAGTCTTGATGAGCACTTTTCATTTCTAACCAGTTGTATATGGATTATTATAATGACGAGCCAACATATTCGAAAAAAATCACATAAAAAATGTTAAGTGTGTAGCACGTGGAAAACAATATATACTTGATTCTATGAAAATCAAAATTGTGTGGAAAATACCCACAATATTGACATTTTTCGATAAATGATGACAAAAATAATAAAAATTATTTCAAAGTATGATTTCCACTGCGTTTTGAAAAAAGTTTCATCACCAATATTCCATATTCCAATGATATTTTTGAGAGAGTATCATAACTGAGCCAGTTCACAAATAATTATGTCACTTATGATATTTCAAGAGAAGTGATATACAGGTACTATAATGATATATTGTTTTGCTGACGATAGCATACTTGTCTCGTCATTTCATTTGGATTTCAAGACATCCGCTGCTGATACACATCTTCACGGGCAGCAGGAGATTGCATATCTATATTTTGATTGGTGTGAAACTAACAAGATTCAATTCAATGCCAGGTTCAATTTGACCCAGGCATCGGTTTTCTCTAAAAAGATAAATGTCTCTGAACCAGATATAACAATGTCAAGACAGACAATTCAGCTTTCTGCTTCGATAAGTTTATTAAAATGGACACCAATACGTCTTGGCTGCTTTTCAAAAGCTTGGGATACTGTTCCGAACCAGAAAACTATACACACATCCGCAACTTTTGATGCTTTATAAAGCTCAGATCAGACCTTCTTTGGAGTATTGTTCTCATATATGGAGCTCCGCTGCTCAGCATACCCTGAAGCTGCTGGATTCCATCCAAAAAGAGCCATCCGTCTAATTGAACACGCGAACATCATTTGCAACTTTGATAGTCTGAATATCGAGAGGGACTGTGGCTTGTCATCGTTTTGGGGTTCAACTCAGTACACCTCGAACTACATTATTCAAGAACTCTTTCATTTGGAGAACTGCGTTTATGTAGAATAAACTTTCTGAGAAGGTTCTCCCAGCAATTCAAATCCAATGTGAATCGTTAACTTCGCACAGGCACCGTTTTTAGGGCGCCTAAAAGATGTTTTTTCTATAGTACTTTTCTTTTGTCCTTAAAAAACAATATATCAAGAAGTGCTTTTTGTGTATCCCATACCACACTATCTCTGTCCTGCGCGTTTGGAAAAGCAATTTCGGGAAGTTTATTCTTTAAAGCCACCGTCTACCAACTGAAAGAGTCCTTGAAACGCGATGAGCAGTAGCATTGTGTCGCGTACTGCTGAAAAATATCGCTCTAGGTGGGATCCAAACAGCTCAGTATATCGAACAGTTTCCGTGAAGGTATCTACAGATAAGAGGTCTTCCTTCAAGAAAACTAAATTTTTCTAAAAAAAAAATAGTGGCCCAGGGTATGCTTAGAAGTAAAGCTCCATGTATGTGACCAATTTTCCAAACCAATGTAGTATTCAGAATTTGTTCCTTGTAGCAGTGGCAGAGCACGGATGGAGAATCCTTCTTCTGAAACACTTTCTTATCACCCAAAGTTGAAATATCGTCATATGACAATCTCGGGATTCCTTGAACACAGGATGGAGATACAATATTACCATATCACGTATTATCCTGGAGAATATATGGAAAAATCCTGAAAACGCAACGCCGTGATTTTACTTGGCATGTTATTCAATGAAATCTGGATATCCTTCGGAAACATATCCCAGAGAAAGCCTGTTGTCATAATACTGTATTTTCGGAATAGTGGCCTACAAACCTACAAACGCAATAGTTGGAACCGCCTTTTGTGGAGTTTGAAGACTTTTATTGAATTGGTGGAACTGCCCCACAATATTGTACCATATGCTATATGGGAGTGAAAGAGTACGTAATTGGTATTTAATAGAGCATCTTCACTCACCAATTTCCTCAGTTTCCTCAGATTATTTAGATATATTTCAGAAATGGGACATTTGTAAAATTCATAAAATAGAGTTGAACATAGAGGAATATTCCAGATTCCTCAAAGGTGTGTTTTATCTTTATCTATTACATCTGTAAACCTCATATATCTATACAAAATGCCCACTTGCAATGCTTTCCTAGAGACACTCCCAAAATAAAACAATTGAAATCTTATCTCTTCGGAGACAAACATATTTTGTAGGTTCGTGAAATTGATTTTAGTTGCTAGGGGCCTAGTATACCCACTTGAATAAGTGGTACGATGATCCTTCGATGATAAGAAGTGATAATTATTTCGATAAACTGTTGTTAGGGGGTAATCGAGATACTTGAATGAGAACTTTCGTGATGTCGTTATCTTCCTAATAATTTGTATGTGATAAATCAAGATTGCTTTTTGACTATGTGAGCATTCTGAATTTGAGTTCCGTAGCTCTCTTTGAGATGATACCGAGTACTTGTTTTTGTAACGTTGGTGTCGACTATTTTCAAATGATATCTATTCATTGATATTGAAAAGGGAATATCTTCGGAAAAATGATATTTCTAAGAAAAAACTTTTTTAGTTTCTACTTTCCCATTATCAAACAACAAAACTAACCATTTGTTTGAAGGTGATTGACAATGTTTCGTGATGAATTTCACTAGTTCGCACTTCCATTGTCTATTATATAAAATGATTTGAAATCCCTGAAACAAGTAAAAAAGAATAATTAAAAAAAAAGAATAGTTGAAAATAACAATTATAAGCAACAATAAACCTGAAATGAAATGATAGTNAAAGTGATATTTTACTTGAACAGTTCCTGAACAGTCAACTTATTCCGTCGCGAATGTTTATAAGGTGTCTCCTTTTACTGTGTGGAGACTTTTGAAGAGGAATAGGTATCATCCATACAAAATTAAAATGGTACACCAATTAACTGAAGATTACCCTCATCGAAGAACCTTGTATGCATTGCATTGTAGTAGATCGGACTCCATATTTTATTACGTATTGTGTTTGCATTAGGACATAGTATGATGTTGCGGTTTTATGAATAAAAATCAGTATCTGATTCGAGTATATCAAAAATTCACTTATATTCATCCAGTTCAATTTCTCCAACATCACAGAAATTACCGTGTGCCTATCAGAACACAATATGACTTTCATTGGCCGGTTTTATAAAATATGAAGTCGACTTTTTTCATTTCTGAAGAAAATGTACGTTATGGTAACACGAAAAGTGAAGTGTATGTATGTGGTAAGACGATGACATTGTATACACATTTTCCATAGAAAACAGACTGCAGACCAATATACATGCAAATCTGAATCTATCATCAAGCCTAGGTATTAAATTTCTCAATTTTTTCTTTTCATGATCCAAACAATTCAATTCTATTTTTTCCTAGTATCATGTACTTTCATTGCAAAATATTCATTTTCACTTCATTTTCATTTGTTCATTCTGAAAGTTATGTAAAAATCACATTTTTAATTTTTTCACATAAGTTTTCGGGTTCTCCGAGATTATTTCGGATATAGGGATTTTTGAGAATGTTGAATCCGAATTCGAAAACAATTTTTATTTATATTCTTCATAAAGTACACCTTACAATTTGATCTTCACAAACTTTATTCCCAAAAAATATATCACGAAATGTTTCGCTATCAAAGTAGCTTTTTCGTAGTATTTTCGTAATATTTCGTATTCCCTACGAAAAAATAATTTATACTTACTTCTAATATACTTTTCGTAACTAATTGAGCCTATAAGTCCCCTTAAAACCGCAGGCCTATTGATTCGAAACAAGTATGCATATACACATACGTTCCAAACATGTTCCGAGTAACATTGTTAACAACAGAAATATTGGAATGGATTCATGAAAAGCGAGACACACTGTTCAACTTTAACAGAATCTGATTTGATATCAAATTTAGTACTGTTTTAAAACTACATTTCGAAGGATCAGATTTGAGTTTTTTGATATTATGAAATTTGAGTATCGCAAACTACAGGCTTTTTTCGTACTGAACATTAGAAGAATCTGTTTTTCCGTTAACCAGCTGTCGCACACCTACGAACGACAACCCTCAGAAGTCGAAACTTGTGCGAGCTAAGGACTAACGAGGTCTTACCTTTTAACGTGTGGTTCCTAACACGGGTTGGACGATAGCAAGTAAAAATCGAACGTTCAGCCTGGGGCTTGAACCAGCGACCAACACGGCGGTCGATTTGAGTGAGTGAACAAAGCACCCACGTCGAACCGACCGACCACCGATCGGGATACGCTCATATTGAGTACACCATTTGTTGTAGGAACAGTACAATTTTAAGAAAGAAAGGTGTCGGCTTTCTACTTCTCCATCTTAAAACAAAAAATGTGTGAATCTTGCGAAGAAAAGAAAGAAAGCAATCGATTTCGAATAAGTAGTTCTTTACAAAGTAACTTTCAGACACAAACTGGAAGAAGCCGCCCTCTTGAAACTTAACTTTTATTATTATCACCCATTGAAAAGGACATAACTTTATTCAAAATGAAAAAAGAATGTTTTTTGGATGAAGATGGAAAAGTAGAGAGCCAAAAAGCTTTTTTATACACATAACGTTGATTATTTACCAATACTGACAATACGGATATTATCCGTATTATAAGAAATTGAGAAAAAGCAAGTGATTACCAATTTAAAATTTCATTTCACAAACATTAATGAAAAATGCTGAAAATACTATAATTATTTTTACAGCACGAATAATTCACAACTTTTGAAATTGTACCATGTACAACTTTTTTTAAAAGTCCAACCATCGCAATTGAATATATCTTTTTCTTCACATATACTCGTCTTCTCTTTTCTTCTATAACTTTTTCACAACATTCTAATTGATGAATTGAAATTGTGATTGAGATCCCTGCCACGTCATTTCTAAAACAAATTGCCGTTTATGTTGTCTGTGAAAAAAGATTAATTGATGGATGTAGCCGTTACTACCTACG